TCCTTCCTTCCTTCCTTCCTTCCTTCCTTCCTTCCTTCCTTCCCGACACAGTCTCGCTCTGTCGCCCAAGCTGGAGTGCAGTGGTGCAATCTGCTCACTGCAACTTCTGCCTCCTGGGGTCAAGTGATTCTCCTGCCTCAGCCTCCCAAGTAGCTGGGATTACAGGCATGCGCCACCACACCCAGCTAATTTTTGTATTTTTAGTAGAGATGGGATTTCACCATGTTGGCCAGGCTGGTCTTGAATTTCTGACCTCAAGGGATCCACCCGCCTTGACCTCCCAAAGTACTGGGATTACAGACACGAGCCACTGCACCCGGCCTGTTTCAATTTTTAATGCTGATGCTCTCCTTTGTTGGACAGTGTAATGAAACCTGTTGACCAGACTGGAAGCAGAAAGAAGGCTGGTCTAGCGCTAACTAGCATTGTTCTCGTGGCCAGCGATGGAATCCCAGGACTCCCCTCTGCCATTTCTCTCTTAGCAGAGTCTTATTTAGTCTCTACATAAATGAGACCTACCTATTTCTTGCATTTCTTAATATTACTGTCTTCTGCATGTACTAAGGTTGTCATCATGCCTTTCTATCCCACACTCCAGCTGTACAGAACCCTTTAAGCCACTTCCTTACCAAAGCTCTCTAGACTCTAAAAATGCCATGTTACCTTTTTTTCCTTAAAGAAATATCCTTTGCATTTGCCTAGGATTGAAGAAGAGCAGTAAACTAGTACATCTCAAGGTAGCCTGAATGCACTTCTGCTCTTAGTGTCATTCATTGTACTCCAGCACCACTGTGGATAGAGTCCCTGTGGGACGAATGAGGACTCTGGGCAACTTTCACCTGGGACTGAGCATTCTCCCGAGGAAGTCATTCATTTCCCAAGAGTTTGTGCAAGTCTGTGTCTCCCATGTGGCAGGAAGAGTGACCAACCACCACTCCCATTTTTTCTGAGATGCCACTGTGACTTGGGTCAATAAGCTTGGCCTTGCCGATGGATATTCACTAACTGGTTTTTCTTATTTGAATTTCTTACCATTTTTTCCCTTTGATAATGTGGACTATTTTATGGCAAAGAGGGGCGCCAAGGTATGACTGAAATCCTGTATGGCTGAGAGGTTTAGCATCAACTGGTGTACCTGGAAACATTTGCAAATCACTCTGGGGAGATACGTTTCCGTGCTCACCATTTGAGATTTCTTCTTTCCACTCTATTACAGCAGAGAGATCATACTATTAATACTTAAAATTACTTGGTGTTTTTTTTTTCCCTCCTTGGTGGATTTGCAACCTTTAACTATCCAGACTGCGTGACTTACATATAAGAAACTCAGTATTGTGACAGACCATCAATTTTAAACTAAAGAAAATGTGTGGAGTTCTGATATCAGAAGCTTACAGTTACAAAATTAAGATCAGTGTTACACATGGCACTGAGAATTACATTCTGGAGGCAAAACTCAAGGCTGCAATGCTTGAGTTGGACAAAATTACCCTTGAATATCATCTTGATTGTCATAAAGTTCAGGATGCAGATGCACCATCTCTCAAAAAGAGCCCAACTTAATCAGCTGGCTTTTTCTGTGAAGGAACAGGCCATCATTACTCTTTTTTTTTTTGAGACAGAGTCTTGCACTGTCGCCCAGGCTGGAGTGCAGTGGCGCAATCTTGGCTCACTGTAGCCTCCACCTCCCAGGTTCCGGTGATTCTCCTGCCTCAGCCTCCTGAGTAGCTGGGATTACAGGCATGCACAACCACACCCAGCTAATTTTTCTATTTTTAGTAGAGATGGGGTTTCACCATGTTGATCAGGCTGATCTCGAAGTTCTGACCTCAGGTGATCCACCCACCTGGGCCTCCCAAAGTCCTGGGATTACAGGCATGGACCACCATGCCTGGCCAGACCACCATTACTTTTTCCACTGAGAATCAGATAAATTAACCAGCTTGTATTTAATAGTGTACGAATATACTGTTTGCAGAACAGGAATCCCATCACTCACAAGCCCAGGGGTCTGTGGGACTGAGATCCGCAGTGAGGAGTGAGGTCCCTTCTCTTATCTCAGGCTTGTGCAAGGACAGTCACTCATGAGAGATAACAGCACAGGCAATGCCCGTGCCATATACATTGTTCTTCTCTCTCCTTTTCCTGTTTTGAACTACAAAGTATGCATAACTGAATTCACATGAGGTGACATGTGAAGCCTCTATTCACTTACTTGTATTGTTGTTTTTAACGATGTGTTGAAAACAATGGCAATAGTTCTGCAAAACGTCCGTTGTCTGAGGTGTAGAAATGTGAGCCTATTTCAAATGCCAGTTAAACTGTAATGAAGCATCAAAGAGCCCTGGAGAGAAGGGAGCAGTATCTGTATATGGAAATCATTGGGAAATTTTTCATTAACGTCTTGAGATGGCCAAGCTGTTAGGGATACTCATTTTCCTGCACGATTCTGTAAAGGCCTCCAGGCTAAAGTTCCTATGACATTAGATCCAACATCATCTACTTTCAAATACTTGGGTTTTTTGTTGTTGTTGTTTGTTTTTTGTTTTTGAGACAGAGTCTTGCTCTTTTGCCCAGTCTGTAGTTCAGTAGTGCGATCTTGGTAGTAGAGATGGGGTTTCACAATGTTGGCCAAGCTGGTCTCAAACTCTTGACCTCAGGTGATCCGCCCACCTCAGCCTCCCAAAGTGCTGGGATTACAGGCCTGAGCCACCATGCCCGGACAGGTTTCTGTCATATTTCTCCACTATCTAAAGAAGAGACATGGCGGGGCACGGTGGCTGACGCCTGTAATCCCAGCACCTTGGGAGGCCAAGGCAGGCAGATCACAAGGTCAGGAGATCGAGACCATCCTAGCTAACAAGGTGAAACCCCATCTCTACTAAAAATACAAAAAATTAGCCAAGAGTGGTGGCGAGCACGTATAGTCCCGGGTTCTTGGGAGGCTGAGGCAGGGGAATGGCATGAACCCGGGAGGCGGAGCTTGCAGTGAGCAGCTTTGGCACCACTGCACTCCAGCCTGGGCAACAGAGCAAGACTCCATCTCAAAGAAAAAAAAAAAAAAAGACATGTTTGTGTTGCCCTTAAGCTATGACACAAGTGTTACTACCCACACAGCAAACATCTCCATCATTTATACCAAAACCACTCAGCAGCCTCCCAGCTGAGGTGTACGGCCTAGAAATGTGTGCAGCTCAGTGAGATCTGGCCTGGGACACTGCCATGCTAGGAAACAGCCCTTTTGTGCAAGGTGAAAGAAAGAAAGCAGGGCAGAAAGACTCAAAAAACACAGGATGTGCAAACAGGGTTGTTTCCAAGGGAGAAGTTTTTCATTTTTCCAGGAGGCCCCTGTTGGTCTGTGCTATGTCTTTTTTTTAGCCAGTCAGGTCACTGACTTGATACTGAACACTGATCACGAATCTTGACCTCAGCTGGGGATGTGCGGCTCTTCACGTTCCTGAGCCAGGTTGGGTGAACTTCCACGGCCTTCTAGGTGGTACCTTTTATAACCATTGGGTGGTGCATCCACCTGGACAAACCGGTCTGAAAGTCAATAGAGCTTTAACAAACAATTCTCTTGTTTTACAGAGAGAGGATGCAAGCCATGGAGAAACAGATTGCCAGTTTAACTGGCCTCGTTCAGTCTGCACTTTTTAAAGGGCCTATTACAAGTTATAGCAAAGATACATCTAGGTAAAAAAGAAGAAAGCCTATGAAAAACAATAATTCAATCTGTTTCTCTTTTAATCATTAAGATAATTCATTCATTCAAATCTGTTTCCTTGTAATCATTTCAAGGCTGATAATATTCACATCTCTATGGATCATGGGCATTTTTGTTTGTTTGTTTTTTGGGGTTTGGTTTGGTTTTTTTTTTTTTCCTCCTTCTGGTAATTCTTGGTCGAAGGTAACACTTTGGCCCAAGAAGGTAAATGGGCTTCCCAGTGCATGTGGCTTCATGGACCACTCACCATGCAGTGCCTGCAATCACCACCCTTGCGTGTCCACGTCGCCATCATCTGAAAGTCACAAGTGAGCCTGGCTGCATTCCACCCCCAGTGTCAGGTGCACACCTGGGAAGCCTTTTCCATCCTGGCCAATTGTGATGCTGATGCTAAAATACCTTCATTGCTTAATCCCATCACTGCCAATTGCTTCGAATAGTGAATGGAATGGGCTAAAAAAAAAAAAAAAAGGCATTTTGGAAACTGCATAGCTGACTCTTTTTTTCTTTTATTCAGCGAGAAAATGATGAAAACCACAGCCAACAGGAACCACACAGATAGTGCAGGTAAGTGAGTGCTTTTGGAGTTGTAGGAGGCCTGTGGGCTGCCTGGGATGAGTCCTGACTTGTCTCAGAAATGTTTGACATTTCCCTAAGTCACTTATTTGGTATGACGTCAGAGGATTCCTAGATATTCCTGCTAATACTGAAATTCCAGATTTATTCATTAATTCAGGGGGCAAAGCACCGTCTTTTCCCTTTGGTTTTCATTCATTCACTCATTTGTTCATTGTTAGGGCCATACGGTGGGTATCTCGCAGACATGTGGCTGCCTGCCTAGAACTTAGAATTCAACGGGGAAGATGGAAATGGGACAAGTAATTTTATGTGTGTCAAGTGTTTAAAAGTGCAGGATAAATGCTTCACCAATAGGACTAACCTATACCAAGGGCAGTCCCCGGAGGAAGTGACACAAACTAAGCCTGGAGGGATGAAGTGACACAAACTAAGCCCGGAAGGATGAAGAGGACTTAGGGGGAAGAAGGGTTGTCCAGTCAAGGGAATTTAAAATTGTTCTAAGTGTAACGTGAAGCCATTGGAAGATTGTACACCGGGGAAGGACATCAGCCCAGCTGCAATATGGGGATGGATGAGAAGGGACAGTAGCCAATAAGGAATGACCAGTGTCCAGATGGGAGAAAAAGGAGTATTTGGCCTAGGGCCTGCTTTTTATCTTTTTAATCTCATGACAGATGACAGGGCCTGCTTTTTAAATGCCAGCATTCCCCAGAAAGAGAGCCCAGTTCTGTTAGTAGTGGCGTTCACTAGTATCCAGGTCTTTGCAATGAATGTCTCATCCAGCAGTCTTAAGCCAGGCCTCTGCAAGAAGATGAGGTCTTCCCTCTCATCGGGTTAGAAATAGAAATCCTTAGCAGGAACACATTCAGATTCTAAATTACACAGAAAGCATATGGCAAGTTGGGTGAAACCCCAAATTTAGGGAAGCCACGTGTACTAGTTTTGTGCGGCATGGTAGAGTAGACAGATTTGGGAACTTCAGTTTAGGACTCTGTTGGTCGTGGTTCTCCTCTGGCTGAGCATAATTTAGCTACAAGGCCAACAGGTTCACTCTGCCAGCGTTCCTGATGCTGATGGGATTTGTTGTTTTGCTTAGAAATCAATCAGTGGCCTTGGCCGAAGCCAGAGAATTATTTCACGGAAATTGCTAAACTTGTCTTCAGAGCAATTGCCAGTTTGTTTCGGAGATACTTAATTTATTCATTTTTTAAAATGTATTGTAAACTTAGGGAGAAGAAAGGAAACTACTAAATATTAAAAGCTCCCATCCTTCTGTAGTCCATTCTAGAAATGACTCATATCTGAAAGCACTGCTCTAATCAGTATGTACGTGCTGTTTTGTATGATCCTTTTATTTCTTTTTGCTTTTTAGAGAATAATAATAATAATAAATATGTAGTGAGTGCTTCCTATGTGCTTTTCATGCATTCACTCATGAACTCCTTACCGCAGCATCCAGGGAGAGGTACAATTTTTATTCTCATGTTCCAGAGAAGAAAACTGAACACATATCCACACACGTGGCACACATTATCATATGCCTGTCATTTTAACTCCTTTTATGTTTAGATTCCTCAGTCCCTTTAAAGATATATAGGTGGTTTCATTTCTTTGTTCTAAAACCTCTTGTCAATTTCTTTTCAAATGTGGGGAAAGGAGCCAGTGCCATTTCCTCAGATATATTTCCCAAAGTGGAATCAGTGAGTCCAAAGGGACAGTTCAGTGGCAATGGTGACATGCTGCTAGTTTTCTCTTCTGAATGGCCAAGCTGATTTGCAATGCCACTGGCGACGTGCACGTGGGCTCACTCCCCACGTCTCTGCTAGGTTTGGACTTTCTAACGTATCAGGGTGAGATATCGTCCACAGGGGCTTCGTTGCCATAGCAGCCTTGTATCGTGCACAAAATAGAATAATTCTTCCAGAATCCTAGGAAGTAAGCTACAAGACAAGTATTATCCTGTTCTGTAGACAAGTAAACGGAATTATATAGAAGTCAAGGAACTCATCTGGCCAAGAGTAAAGGAAAACCTAGACTTCCTGGCTACTTAAGGAATGCATAGTTTACTGTGGAGAGAGAACAGATGGAACCTCCCATCTCCAAGATTTTTATACTGTGCATTCAATCATTTAACACACAAAACCCTATAAGGAAGATGTCATTACCCATATTTTACATGAAAGGAGACAGAAGCTCAGGGAGGTTAGGTTAGTTATCCAAAGCCACACAGTTAGTAAGAATGATAGCCAGGTCAGGCATGGTGCCTCACGCCTGTAATCTCAGGATCTTGGAAGGCTAAAGTGGGAGGATTGCTTGAGACCAGGAGTTTGAGACCAGCCTGGGCAACATTGCAAGACCCTGTCTCTACAAAAAATTAGCATGGTGGTACACGTTTATAGTCCCACATACTTGGGAGGCTGAGGTGGGAGGATTGCTTGCGCCTGAATAGGTCAAGGCTGCAGTGAGCCGAGATCAAGCCACTGCACTCCAGCCTGAGTGACAGAGCAAGACCTTGTCTCAAAAAAAAAAAAAAGTGACAGCCTGCCTGGCTGATAATTGAGTAGATAGTGGTACCACTGGCTAAAGTTAGGCCCTTATTATAACGGACATTGAAGACTCAGAAGCAGGCAGGGTGGGAGGGGGTGAGGGATAAAAAACTATAAATTGGATACAAGATACACTACTCCGGTGATGGCTGCACTAAAATCTCAGATTTCACCACTATACAATTCATCCGTGTATCCAAAAACTGCTTGTTCCTCAAAAGCTATTGACATTATAGATATAATAAAATTAGGCCCATAGAGACAGAAAGAGGTTTGGAGAAGATGAGTGGAAATAATGAATTTGACTTACTTATGGAAAAGTTCAGTAGTGACGTGAAGGCATTGATATGTGGATCTGAAGATAATTGTGTGCTGCAGACGAGGGTGCGGGAGACCTTGGCAGGTGGTGGTAGCAGAAGTGACCTCCCTAGAAAGCATGTCCATCCAGAAGAGAAGTGGACCCAGCGACACAACATATCAGGACTTAAAAGGTTGGCAGAGGAAGGAGTTAGAAAAGAGATTGACCAAGACAGAGCAGCAGAAAGGGAAGAAGATGATGGAAAGTTTCAAAGTGACTGAAAAGAAAAGAAGTGGCTGACAAAGCTCAGTGTCACATTGAAGCAAAGTCATGTCAGCCTAGGAGAGAGTCCACAGGGTGACAACTAGAAGATCGCTGAAATGAACATAAAGAGCCATTTCAGGGAATGATGGAGCTATTACATGAAGCACATATAGTGGATTAAGAGGTTATAGATGAAGATACTTTAAAAATGAGTGTAGATTCCATAAAGGAATTTGGTTGTTGGCCGGGCGTGGTGGCTCACGCCTGTAATCCCTATACTTTGGGAGGCTGAGGCAGACTGATCACCTGAAGTCAGGAGTTCGAGACTAGCCTGGATAACATGGTGAAATCCCATCTCTACTAAAAATACAAAATTAGCCGGCTGTCTTGGTACGCACCTGTAGTCCCGGCTACTCAGGAGGCTGAGACAGGAGAATTGCTTGAACCCAGGAGGCAGAGGCTGCAGTGAGCCGAGATCATACCACTGTACTCCATCGCAGCCACTGCACTCCAGCCTGGTCAAGACAGAGCGAGACTCTGTGTCAAAAAAAAAAAAAAAAGGAAAAAGAAAAAAGATAACGAAAAGCTTGCTGTCAGGTCTCCTGGAGCTCCATTGTCAGTCCTTTAAAATGCCTTCTGGCCTGCTCCCCTGCTGCCTCCCCAAGAGGGCCATTAGAGGGGCTGGGAGACTGGCCCTATTTGGATGGTCATTCAAGGATAAAGAGAACGGGGCTCCAGCAGCATCAGTGTCGCCAAGGCCAAGCAAGGAAGAGGACAGTTGCAGGGAGCTTCCTGGCTCATGAGCCACTTTGAGCTCCACTGAGGCCTCGTTGAGTTGTGTGTGCTGGAGAGGGAAAGGTTCCCGAAATGGCTGAGCCACGATGGGAAGACAGGCTACCACCACACTATAGCCACTCCAGGGTCTGCAAGTGGCCGCAGTGCTCTGTCCTGCAAGGCCAGCTGGCCTGCGACAAAGCTTGCACTTGACCCTTTACAGGAAAGGGAACTGAGTCGAAGTATGTGTGTGTGTGTCTGTGTGTGTGGTATGTGTGTGTTTATTAGTAACATGGATCCTGCCTCTTCTCCAGGTACCTGTTCCATAGAATCACATTGTCGCTGTTAGAGTCCTCTCCTGAAGGGTTTTTGCATCTTGCTTTATTTTCTTACTAAAGGAGTTGTGTGCAGACGCCCTCCTTCTTTTGATTTTGGAAATCTGAAGGGATTCGGGACAGTACCCAGTTCTTACTAGTCTCCACTTGGCGATTGGCCGAATCTCTGCCCAGAAATAAGTTGCATGTCCTTAGGTTACATTTGCCATCCAGGAAATAGTCACATAAACACTCTATATTAGGTCTCGGAATTTTAAAATCAGTTTTCTCTATTATAAAATTACAGATATTCAGTATGCAGATTTTAAAAATACAAAAAAGTGGCTGAGTGCAGTGGCTCATGCCTGTAATCCTAGCTCTTAGGGAGGCAGAGGCAGGAGGATAGCTTGAGCCCAGGAGTTTGAGACCTGCCTGGGCAATATAGTGAGACCCTGTTCTCAAAAATAAAAAATAGTAAAAACAACAACAACAGCAACAACAACAACAAAAAACCTTATATTGGAATACCACGGCTGGAGATACCATTAACACTTTGTTTTATACACTTCTAAGCTTTTCTCTATGCAAACCTGTGTGTTTAAACAGGCTCTTCTTCCAGAGGTTAAGAAAAGAAAAAAAAATTAAGTTAAAAAAAAAAAAACCGTAAACAAGATGATCAATTGATAGATCAATCAGTCAATAGATAGATGGGAGCATAGACAGCTCTGTGGCCTGTCTTCCTATGGCACTTTCTTACTAAACTTCTAGAATGTGATTATTGCACACTGCATACTATAACACTGCATACTATAACACTGCATGATTCATATATATGCATTTTTTTTTTTTTTTGTATTGAGAGAAATGGGCCTTTTTGGAACTACCAGTCATCTGCATTGGGATGGGATGCATAGCTTAGACTTTCCTTTGTGGCCTTCTGAGTTCTCTGATGCACTTTTCTCATAGGAACTCCCCATGTGTCTGGTGGGAAGACGCTCAGTGCTCTGGAGTCCACAGTGCCTCCCAGCCAGCCTCCACCTGCAGGCACCTCGGTCATCCACATGAGCCTGCTGGAGATGAGGCGGAGCGTGGCGGAACTCAGGCTCCAGCTCCAGCAGATGCGGCAGCTCCAGGTATTCCTCATGCACGGCGGCCTCTGTCTCGGTTGCCCTGAGCTCTTCCTACCTTCCTTTTCCTAGGGGCTCCACGAGACCTAGAAAATATAGAACCATAACAGCGTGGCTTCCTCTCTCACACACGCAATCCAGGTCTAGAGCCTTCCATTGCAACTACAGTCAATCTATAGCCACTTCTTTAAGCTATGTGTGCTTTTACACAGGAACAGACTCTAGGGCATTTGCTTTTGGAGAAGAGCTGAAAGGAGAGGGGCCCCAGGGAGCATGCCGACAGCCAGTGAAGGCTGCCTTCTGACAGCTTGGAGGCTCCATCCTCCTCCACACTGAACAGGCACAAAGGTGGATAGTCAGCCAAGCCTTTTTTTTTTTTTTTTTCATTTTTTTGCAAGGATCTGTGATGTATTTAGAACTATGAGTTTAGAATAGAAGATGAATTCATAAGGAAAAAAAACCACCATGGTGATTTGTTAAGAAAAACATCTGCATTTCATTCAGATACTGTGATCCATCCTTTCCTTGCTCTTTTCTATTGTTAAGAAATGTATGAACTCTACGGGAATCAGGGTAAGTGACTCTTCAGGTCACGAATCTTGGTCAACAAATCCCATAAATCTGCCAAAGCAGAATAAGCTGTCTCCTGGTCCTGGGTAATAAGGAGGTAGAGATATACGTCTCCTGCATGAGACCACATATTTGCTCTGTGCACCTTTTCCCACCTCCCTGCCCTGGCTGGTAGGTTAGGTGTTGAGGATACAGTGCTGGCCTAGGCTCTATACAGACATCCTCCCTGACTTCCAGAAGCTTATAATCCAAATGTTGCTAGAAGATACGGCCAGGTGTCGTGGCTCACGCCTGTAACCTCAGCACTTTGGAAGACCGAGGCGGGTGGATCACTTGAGGTCAGGACTTCGAGACCGGCCTGGCCAACATGGTGAAACCCCATTTCTACTAAAAATACAAAAAAAATTAGCAGGGCCTGGTGGTGTGTTCCTGTAATCCCAGCTGGGAGGTTGAGACGAATCCTTGAACATGAGGCGGATGTTGCAGTGAGCCAGGATAGCACCACTGCACTCCAGCCTGGGCAGTAGACTGAGCCTATGTCTCAAAAAAAAAAAAAAGAAAAAAAGATAAATGTATCCAGGATCCTGGAGCAGCCATAATGTATCCAGGATCCTGGAGCAGCCATGGGGATGCAACCTCCTGAGCCCTTTCCTCTAATAGGAAAAAGGCTTCCAATCACAGTTCTTCTTCAGCACAGCGATGGCACAAGCCCTGTGTTGTTTAACCACCTAATGAAGGCTAAGAAAACAATTTCCCCTTGCCCTCTGCCTACCAGAAAACACACTGAAAGGCAGCTGGTTTGAGAGACCTGCCCCGAGGCCCCAGCATAGATCATGAGGGTTGCTAGAAGAGCGAATGCTCAGATCTCCAAAGGCTACTCGTCTCTTAGGCAACATCCCAGATACCTTGGACATCCGATGCAAATTCATTTAAATACCCTATTGAATCGCATCATCTGTGATGGTCCCATCCTTTGCGTTAGCTTCTCCTCGCTTTGCAATTTTAAAGACACATTGCAATGAAATGAAGTGTACAGGTTGGGCTGGGTTGTGTCAGGGGTGACAAAGTTACATGTCTTCAGTGTCCAGGCAGCAATTGTAAGTGAAACGGAGGAGAGACCACAGTAAATTGGCCCCTTTAAAGGCTAGTAGCCACTGAGTTCCAACTGGCTCTTAACCTGATAGAATTAGTAGCCAGTGTTTCTAGATATTTCAATATTTCAAGCGAATCTGGAGACACTGGTTTTGTATGAATTACCACCATTTTAAAATGTTGGAAAGTAATTAAAAACCAATTACTAAGTACTCTGCAGGCCAAAGGACACAACTGCAGTTCAGAGGGGGCCTGTCAGCTCCCAAGTTCTTTCTTACCTGGGGCTCCCGGAGGTTAAGCCCCTCCTTTCACTACTCCTGCCTTTTGGCACCATCTGCTGGCCGTTTGGAAATTGTTACTTCCTCATTGCACCCCTATAAGAAAAACATATATATCATTTGTATTGAAATACCTAACTGCTCTCAAAAGTGAGCATTTGTCGGTTTGGGGACAGGGGTGGAATTGCTTTAGCATAAATGCCACACTTCCCCTGGGAATTTCACAGGCGTTAGAGGTGAATTTGATACCAAGGCTATCTTGATGTCTGTAGCTACAGCATCACCCCATCAGTGGCGGGTGTAGTTTGGTGCTGTGGCCGGCTGGGACGGATCTCCCACACTTGTCTCTCCTTGCAACCCTTGAACTATGCAGCTTTGTGAAAAAGAGCAGTTTTCTTAAACAAAGAAGGTCTTTGGTCAAGGTCTAGGAATGCTGTGTTAACCACACAAGTTTCTTTATTGTTCCAGAACTACTCAACTTTTCTGGCTTTCTGGGAATAAAGAACAGTGAGCAAATGTGCTTTTGAGCCTGGGAGGTTGGGCAGTTCTAAAGCGCAGACTCACAGGGAAAAATAAGTATGGTGTTTCCTAATCTGGCTGTTACTCTTTCTACCTCTGTCTTTGTATCCCCTGGGTCTCATTCAGCTTTCCTCCCCATCAAACTTCTGTCTTTTCAATCATGGGAGTCTACGTAAGACAAAAACAGTTTAGAATAATTAAGCTATCTCGGCACCAATTCTCCTTCAACATGTGCAGTCTTATATACCAAAAATGAACAGCAGTCCCACAGTGGTTATAAGTCCAATAATGGAGCTATCATTAGAGATATACGAAACACTAGATTAGTCTCAAAAGAACAAAAATTGAATTAGAAATTCAAATGTTCTTTGAATTGTGTTATAAAATAGTGAAACGGAATAAAACCATTTGTGCTTGGCAGCCAGCTCCAGTAATTAGATAATTAAATCACTGGAAAATCCTAGACTGTAGAGCATATCCTATTTGAGCATTTCATTTTCAAAATTGATGGATTATTCTCAGGAACAGAAATTTGTTGCAGACACAGTGGGTTGGGTAGATTTCAAAGGGACAAAGGGAACCTAAGCAGAAGATCAAGGGAACCACTAAAAGCTTGTCCATGTTATCTTCTGCTCTCCAGTTTCACAGGAGTTATCAGTCCAAGAGCAGTTCTCAATCCTGGCTACTCATTAGAATTACCTGAAACCCTTAACAGAAATGCCAGTGCTCAGGCACCACGGCCAGAGTCTGACTTCACTGGCATGGACTGGAGGCTAGGCACTGGTGACTCTAGAACATTCCAGGGTAAAAACTCCTGCTCTCAGGTAATATGAATGCTTAGTCCATGAAGACACTCCCTGGAAATGTTGAGATAGTCAACTATTACCAATGACTTAAAGCCTTGACTTCAAACAATGCACCTCATTCCCAGTGGCAAATCTAATATGTTCTCTGCTAGCTACAATTGGTATGAGAGCTCTACAGAACCTTTATAGCATGATATTCCCATTCCCAAGTAACAGTTGGGTCTGTAATTAGCTAGCAACAAGAAGAAAGGATTTTCTCAAGGTTTTGTACCTAACAGATGTTCTCCTCCAATGATGATTATATTTGCCTGTTACCTTTCCTGATGTCATTTTGAAAAAAGCCCACTTTTTCTAAATAATGAACATCTTTTTCCCAGAATGCCACAGTACTTGGATTTTACCAAAGTCATCCCATATCCACAGAAATGACTGCATTTCTGCCCCTCCCTGTGGGCGGTTGAGGAGAGAGAGAGAAGCTTCTGGAAGAGATAGTACAGGTTCTGTGGAGGCCAGATAAGACTTGGCCTAAAGAGAGAATGGAGACCTCCAACTATTTTCATCCCCACAATTTTTTCCTTGGACCCAATCTCTTTATTCTGCTTCCTGATAAATAAAAAATTGGGTTGTTCTGGACTTAGCATTACATTTGTAGGACTCCTGAGAATTTACTATCTCTTTCCAAGAGAAGGAGAAGGTAAAATATCAACATAAAAAATAAACATAGTAGTGCATAGAGCCCTTGTATTTGAAATGATAAAATTCAAGAGTTTCCTTAATGTGTCTTTTAAAAAGATAGCGCCTCATGGAAATATGCCAGGGTCTCATTTATCTTCTGAGGTGCATAACAATGGTCATGGGAATGTGGAACCCCTGAGAAAAGCATGTTGGAGTTTCCCACGTGCAACAGACCCGTTTCCCCTGCCAAGAAGAAGTAATAAACAGAACTAGTACAGGGCTTGACGATTAGGCTGCTTACAATGTACCAAGCTCTAGTCAGATCTTCAGACAACAAGAGGCTTTCTAAGATGGGGAGACAGTACCCCAATAACATAGGTTATATAGCTGTGACCAGGCATCCCTTACCTTTTTCCCTGAAGCCTGAGGGAGTGGATCCAGGTGGGATCGGGAGTCATTCTGTGGTCTGGCTTTCCTCCTGAAACTTTCTGATTGGTGGTATAACCACTGTTCCATGTCACTGCTAGACAGCAAAATCAGTCCAATTACATTATCCATTGTTGGCAAGACTGACAGTCTTAGATTTTACCCAGGAAATCAAAATTGAGTATGTGAGATATAGGCCCATTTTCAGGTGGGTGGAATTAAGTTTAGGCAGTTTTCTAGTTTTTCCATGAAGTGGTTTGGATAACTTATTTGGTCCAATTAAAATTTTAATGGACAAGAGCATTGTTTCTGTCTAAGAGTGCTTATAAAAATGTCAAGGCATTTTCAATAAATTAGGTTTCCTGCTATGAGGAATAACTGCAACTCTACTTGCCCCCCGCCGCCCACTGTTGACAACTAGAAAACTGAAAAATAAGCAAATGTATGAAACAAATGTTTTCAGAAATTAGACAGGACTGTAATCCTTAGGAGAATGGGAAAAAAACCTACAACTGACGCAGCTTTCTGCCTGGAGGCACTTTTCAAATCTTGGTGCAGGAAGGAAAAACCCAAGTGTGGCCCTGACAGTGAGTTGAGGAGATAAGACCAAAGTTTAGAGAGCTGAAACAGCTAGAATTGG